GGCGGCAGGGAGAGCGGCTGTATCCTCTCAATGTGTCATATCGCCGATGGTAGTCTGTACAGCGTGGGGATCTTGGTGAAAGGGACCTCCTATAGTAGCGTGAGGGCGAGCCCGAATAGCGATCCCGATAGTATCGACGCGGCGATGAATGACGAGGTGACCTATAGTAGGGCTCCCTGGAGGTCGAGTAGCGGTGACTGTGACGACGGTAATCAGCATTGGACGAGGTAGGTGAGTCAGGTCCAGGTGAGAAGGTGACACTGTCCGGAGTTATTGATGGTGTCTGGACTCTGGCAGTCTTTTGCTGAGCTTTGGTTGGCACCGAGGCATTGCAGGCAGGCTGCAGAGGTGCTTGCGTGAGAACAGCAGACAGTGGAGAAGCCTCTGCCACTTGAACGTCTGCCACATGAACGGCAGAGTAAAGGCTCGGTGCAGCTTGATCCCCCGACAGGGTGAAAGCAGGAGGCTGGGCTGGCAGAGACTCATGCGGTGAAGGTGCATCCGGTGCCGATATGCCCGGCACCGAGGAGCCCAGGGTGGCACCTAAGGAAGGCGCTGCGGGTGCCGTCATGGCTGGCTGCGAGCGCGCATGCGCCGGAACTCCTGGTGCCGGGGCTTCCCTTGCCGGTTCCGCAATCGCCGTTAAAGGCACCGACTCTGCTCTTGATCCCTTCTTGAGCGTCGGATCGGAGCTTTTGGGGCCGGCTGTAGTCGGGGCAGAAGAGCTACGGCCCTTGGCTGCCTTGCCCGCGGGGAGTCTCGGCGCATAGCCAGAGCTCCCCGGCTTGTCCGCAGTGGCGCTCGGCGTCCCGTGGATCTTGGGGGCTTGCTCGGGAGGTGCAGAGTGTGGCTCGGAGACCTCCGGAGCTTGGAGAGCCTTATTGAACAAAAGGACTCTCAACCTCAGCTCCCGATCCTTTCTAGCGCGAGCTGTCATCTTCTCGCAGTGACCACACTTGGCTGAGACATGAGTGTACCCGAGACATCTAACACACCGGGAGTGACCATCCGAGATGGGAATAGCCTCCTGGCACTGGAGGCACTTCTTGAAGCCGGGTGATCCTGGCATTCTTGAGTCCTTTGCTTATTAGTCAATTTCAGTCAGGAAAACCCTGACTGACCGCTAAAGAAAAAGCAGCTTTTCTTTTCTTCTTTCTTTTTTTTTTTTTTTTTTAAGGACGTTCCTGTGAGGAGAGAAGCGGCGTTCCGCCAGCGACCACGGGCGGCTGAGAGGAACTGACAAGCGGGGGCCGGACCGTTGCAAAGGCGCGAACGCCGCGCGCTGCGCTCGCGCATGCGCGGTCCGGCCCGGCTATGGCTATGGAAAACTTTCCGACCAGCGGCGCCGGGACGGAACCCGACACCTGGAGTGGAGCACCCACGGGGACCACTCGAAGAAGAACCACTGTTCCATTACTCTCATGGGCAGTAAGAAGGAACTGAAGAGGCAGGGTTGGCAGGACCCTCTATATGGTGCTATGAAGGCATGACTCTAGGGGGCTCCAGAGCTGACCCTAAGGATAACATGAGAGGAAAAACCTTCCAGCAACTGTGCATGGGGTATGCATACACCTGCTTGGAACTGACATGAGCAAGCACTCAAAATACAATAGCTCTAAGAGATGTGATCTGGTTTGTTCATCTCCATGTGGCATTAACAAAAAAGCATCATGATGACAATTTATTATTAACTTTAATTAGTTCAATGCTGATTAAAGCATGCAGGAAAGAAGAGGCATAATCATTTTACTGCAGATCTGCACAATATACACTGAGTGGCAGTTCATTTTGGCATCACAAGTAGACAGCATAGGATGAAGGCAGAGCCTAGGATGTTGGCACCACTTATTATTTTCCAATTTCACCACTGATGGTCCCTCCAATCATATTTAACCCATTTTCTGTTGTAAAAATTACAGACTTTTCCAATATTTAAAATATAATTTTTACAATAGAAAGTGATAGTTAGGTTACAAATACTTGAACAAAGGGAAAAGGGGAGGATCCCAGATAGTAAAGTGAATCTTTAAAATAGAGACATGGTTGAAAAAAAAATAGAGAAAATAAATATATTAAAGACAGCAGAGAAAAAATATTTAGAATCCCTTCTCTAGTATCTTCTCTCATAATCCTAGAAGCTTCTTCCCATACTGGAAGGTTATGGTGCATAGGTTCTCTCAAAATTGACTTCATAAATATTTTTGAAAATAAAAATGAATGTCAAGAAGGTGCTGGCCTCTGTGCCTCAAAACAGAACTAACGCCTGAACATACACATCCTTTTGCTATGTTGGTGCAGTTATCAATCTTGTAAATACCCTCTCTATATTTCCAATTAAACTTACTTATTTCTTACCTCTCTCTGTAGGCGTTCCATTAACTCTGTGTATTCTCTCTGCTCTCTCAGGCGCTTGTCCCTCTCTCTACATGCTAGGATGCGACGGAAAGCACACTGCAGCGTTAGCACAGCCTTTTCTTTGTAGTTCAGTTCTGTGTGGTACATAGAGAATGAATGAAGATAAACTGCAACCCAATGTGGATATGAGACAGTAAAATCACAGACAGAATTCAGTGCTCACAAATGCAAAGTACTGCACATTGGAAGGAATAATTTAAACTTCTCATACACCTTACCAGGTTCAGCTATTTAGAAAGACTGAAAACAGATAGGACATCCACCAGTGTTACTAAGAACACTGATTTGTGCATTCATATGACAAATTAAATCTTTTTTGTCTTTAACTTCTCTGAACTCCATAAAATTCCAGACAGACCGAGGGATTGTTCAAATGAAATCCTATTTCCTTACACTCTGTTATAAAATGTGGAATAACTGTTTTATTATTTAATGTCCCAGAGGTAATTAATTAAGGACCCAGGCTGATACTTTAAAAAAATATCAATTTCCACCAGTTTGTGATTACATTTCTGCTTCCAGCCCCATTTTTAAAGAGCCTTATTATTAATCAGTGTGCAATTTGATCACCCATATGTTGCTAGCACTCAGTATGAATAAGAAGTACTGTTTTAATAGGTATAAGAGCTCCATACTATCTATTATACTAGCTTGAATGAAAATGTCCTTAAGATTTACATTTGTGTATTCAGGGGTGCCCGTGGCTATAGGCCAACTCGGCCGTCGCCTAAGGCACCGCCTTCAACAGTGCCCGATGATGACATCACCCCATTGATGGACGTGCAGGCGGGGGCGCCAATCCCGCATTCTGCCTCCGACGCCAGCTGGCCACCAGCCACAGGCCATTCCTGTGGATCTTGCCACTTCCTCTGTGGCAGGGGCTGTGCCAGCTCAGCACAACTGGCTGCTGCCAGAGTTCACCGGCAAGGGCGGGTTAACTAGTAAGCATACCAGTAAACCTCATAGTTACTGGTATGCTTACTAGTTAATCATTTAACATCCCTAAATTAAAGCACTTTAATTAAACCACCATTGTTTGTGTATCTCTCTCTGGGTACGTCTACACTAGCTCGTTAGTTCGAGCTAGGTAGGGTAATTAGGGCAAGCAGAGTTGCAAATGAAGCCCGGGATTTAAATATCCCAGACTTCATTTGCATGTTCCCGGGCGCCGCCATTTTTAAATCCCCCTTAGTCCGAACATTTAAATATCCTGGGCTTCATTTGCATGTACCTGGGCTCTGCCGTTTTTAAATCCCCCTTAGTCCGAACTCCGTGCCCGCGGCTACACGCGGCACAGAGTAGGTAGTTCGAATTAAAGATCCTAATTCGAATGAGGAGTAACGGTAGTTTGAATTAGGATCTTTAATTCGAACTACCTACTCTGTGCCGCGTGTAGCCGCGGGCACGGAGTTCGGACTAAGGGGGATTTAAAAACGGCAGAGCCCAGGTACATGCAAATGAAGCCCAGGATATTTAAATATCCCAGGCTTAATTTGCAACTCCGCTTGCCCTAATTACCCTACCTAGCTTGAACTAACGAGCTAGTGTAGACGTACCCTCCCAGTGTGCACCTGGCTGCAGAATGCTTTGGGAAGGGTTTGCAATGCCTCATGGGGCAGGCAGAGCATTACATGACCCAGGTTTCTCATTTCCCTCATTCCATGAGCATCCTACTAGATTGCCAGCCACTTTTCAACTGAAATGTACATGCAGGAGTGAGAGGTGTTACAGGAAATGCTGGGGGAGAGACAGAAACAGAGCATGTAGTCAGCCTGTGGAACTCCTTGCCAGAGGAGGCTGTGAAGGCTAGGACTATAATAGAGTTTAAAGAGAAGCTAGATAATTTCATGGAGGTTAGGTCCATAAAAGGCTATTAGCCAGGGGATAAAATGGTGTCCTTGGCCTCTGTTTGTCAGAGGCTGGAGAGGGATGGCAGGAGACAAATTGCTTGATCATTGTCTTCGGTCCACCCTCTCTGGGGCACCTGGTGTTGGCCACTGTCGGCAGACAGGATACTGGGCTAGATGGACCTTTGGTCTGACCCAGTACGACCGTTCTTATGTTCATGTGATGGGGAGGTGTGTGAGAGAGTGTATGGGGGGGGCGGGGAGTGTGTTAGTAGGCTCTCTCTTAAGTTCAGCACCGCTGGTAACAGACTTTGCCAGGCCCTGGGCAATGTGGGAAGGAAGCTTAGCTCCAGGTCCGCTAGAAGAGACTGGGTCTCTGGTGGAATGGATGGGGCTAGAAAGTAGGAATAAGAGATCCTCCGGAAAAGAGCTTATTTTCCGGATGATCGCGTCCAGACTGGCGCTTTTCTCCAGCTTATCTACAAGCTGGAAAAAAGCGGCAGCCATGAAAATGCAAATGCCGCGGGGGATATTTAAATCCCCCACGGATTTGCCTATTCCCAAGTGCTACATTAGCATCCCTATTACGGAATAGGGGCCAATGTAGACGTAGCCATTGTGTTTAACTCAGAGCAAAGGAGAGAGACTGTCAGTGTAAAGAACCTCAGATCGACAAGGGCCCCCTACCAAAGCTCTGTGAAGTTAACTGGGGAGTGCAGGTCTCTGAATCAGTAGGCTGCTTACCCTCCAGGCTACATGCCCAGTTCAACCTGTTTCTCCTCCCATTCTAATAGAACTAGAACAGACTCCATAAAGAGTCTTTTATTATTTTAAATTTACTCCAGTGGATGCTGGAATTTCTATGTGGTTGGACTGTACTGTGGGCCAAGAGCTGAAATCACTAGGTTTGGCCAAATCCACCACAAGCCAGCAGAACACACAATGAGAGGCAGCAGCAAGGTGAGCAGTCAGCAGAGAGCTGTAATGAGTGGCCTGCAGGTTAGTGACGGAGAGGTGCAATGAGCAGCCAGCAGAGTGGCAGCAGTGAGGTGAGACAAATGACCAGCAAGGTGGTTGCAAAGAGCAGCAAGCAGGTGGATGGCAAGTGACCAGCGGATTGAGTAAGATGCCACCTTACTTCCCCACCCACACTAAGGATGGGAGGTGAATTCTGTGGCTGCACCTCTGAACTCTGAGTCTGTCCTGACCCTAGATATTGAACCCGTCCCTGGCAGCTGCTGACGCTACCTGGCAGAAGGGTTACATTTTTAAACCATATACGATACCAGCTGGAGAACAGCACCTGGACAGTGATTGTACATCGAGACTGGCACTGAAAATAGTACCAATAAGGGACCAGTGCTTGCATGGTGATCTTGTGCCAAAACTGTTTCAGGTAGATGAAAGACAGCACCTTGCATAAAATGTTGTATTCTTGTATCAAGAAAAAGTTGCTCCTGAATCTAGGAGAACTCACCAAGTTTGCCAGAATGGTAAATGTTTCTCCTGGGATGGGATGGGACTCAATCCCATGATAGCACTTCTGCTAATCTATGTACACATGGGTCTTGATACCAAGAGCTCAATCTGTGCTTTAAGACAATATTTTAGATCTTGTAGAGAAGGATTTTGATGTATAGGAACAGCCCTCAGAATAAGATTACAGATCCACATTACAGCACTGTGATGGTGCATTACCTACCTGGCAGAGAATGGCACATGAATAGGACCAGCTGTCAATAAGATGAGGACAGAGCCAAAAACATTCAGGGCTCCCCCTGGGCAGTATTGAGTGCTTAGCATGGTAGAAGTACCACGGGATGACACCAACACATTGATAGCAATTTATTAGTAGGTACCAAGCTTGTTGAAGCCAGTCCCCATGTATCTGGGAGGGAAACAGGAAACAACTTGTCCTGAATCAGCAGCAAATCTAGAACCAAAAAGCTTAACAGATCCTTTGAGGCCACATATGCCTCAGGTGTTGCTGGTACTGAAAAGTTGTTTCTGAAATTGGTGCCATAGAAAAAGCCTGCATTGCATTTGGTGTCAACAGTATCTCTTTAGGAACTGGAGTCAACAACTCAACACTGCCAGGGAGCACTGAGGACTGCCTTGCTGAGGATGCCCTAATCTTGGCACTTATCTTCTTATGGGAGACTCCAAGCAGAGGGAAGGACGGGAGGGTAGTGGAGCACCAACCGGGGGACACATCTCAAAGAACCATTGTTACTGCACCTAGTTAGTAACTTCTTCTTCAGCGAGTGGTGTCCCTGTGGATGCTCCACTCAGGTGACTCTGTAGCAGTATCCACCAGATGGAGATGGGCATTGAAATCTTTTAAGTGGAAGAAGGAAGGACCACATCTGCTACTGATGTGGAGGGTATTGGCCCCTTCTGTAAGGCGTAGTGCTGTGCAAAAGTACGGTGTGACAACCATGTGGCTGCCCTACAGATGTGTCCACTAATGGTACATTGTTCAGGAAGGCCATCGTAGCGGCCATCGCACGTGTGGAGTGAGCCCTGATAGACTGTGGTGGCTGTGAGTTCATAAGTGGCATGTATGCAGCCTACAATCCATTTGGATAGGCGCTGTTCTGAAACAGATGTTCCTGTGTGTGGTCCTGACCATGCCACAAAGAGTTTGTCCAATTTTCTGGTTGCTCTAGTTCTATCAAGGTAGAATGCAATTGCCCACCTTGCATCTAAAGTATGTAATATAGCCTCCTTGGAGGAGGCATGAGGTTTAGGGAAATAAGCAGGTAAGTAAATGGGTTCAGTTACGTGAAAGTCAGATATAACCTTCGGGAGGAACTTGGGATGAGGTCTGAGTATGACTTTATCCCTGTAAAGGTAGTGAAAGGTGGGTCAGCCATGAGGGCTGCGATTTTTACTACCCTTCTTGCTGATGTTATTGCCAGTATGAAGGCCACCTTCATAGATAGGTATTGTGGTGGCATAGTGGCTCAAAGGGAGGCCCGGTGAACGTGTCAAGGACCAAATTCCGGTCCCATGGTGGCACCAGGAGGCGCAGGTTTGGATGCATTTTCTGTAAGCCTGTGAGAAAACACTTCACCATGGTATGTGCGAAGAGGGAGAAGCCATCTACTGGATCATAGAAGGCCAGGATCACCACTAGGTGGACTCGGACGGAGCTGATGGAGAGGCCTGTGTCGCTGAGGTCCATAAGGTAGTCAAGTAAGATAGGTATAGGGATTGTAGAGGGA